GCTATTCTTGTACACACACAACCAGCCCATGGGAGCTTAACAAGCCTACTCCTCCTTGAACGATGCCCTTAACTCAAATTCTTTATGTATGTGATTTTAGAGTTGGATCCTCTCCATATCTCCCTACCTCAGTGCATTTATGATGAGCTAAGCAGCCTCAACCACATAAGCAACAACCCCTAAGGTCCCAATCTTAGGGTTGTGATCATCCTCGTCATTTACATCAACAACAACATTTACCTCGATGCCCTTAACCTTGACCTCAACCTCTACCTCCACCTTGGCCTCAAGTGGACTCTAGACCTTGGCTTCCTCGGCCTTGACTTTTAGAATAGATTTATCCCCAAATTAAGGACTAAGGGAATTCCCTGACCTCAACCACAATGGCCTCATCGACTGAGCCGAAGTGGGTGCTTGCCAACTCTAACGCTAGATAGAATGCTTAGACCTAGAACCAAAATAGCTAGAACCCGAACTAGATGATGGAAACATAGTGAAAGAAGGAAAGCAAAGGAGACTTACGGAACTGACTACCCAAACTAAGGAAGACATTGAGCACCAAGCTAAACTCTTAGGCGCCCTAGCTCTACTTTACTCTCCCTAGACTGTAGAAGCAAAAGATGAAGTTTGAGTCGCTTAAGACTCCTCCCTTATATAATATCTTCAATGGCTTAGATTTGCTCTCAATCAATGGCCCAAATCTCACCCCAATCTAACACCTACCATGAATCCCACAATTAAGGGGTCTCTTTGAAAAGATGCCTCAAAAGACGAAGTGATACATTAATGACAATCTTTATTCCAGTCACACAAACAAAAGTGATGTAAAGCCTAGAGAACGCATACGACCTACGCACCATAGACAAAAAGATCCTCATATCTCCTCGGCATGACTCAAACTTAACCCTTGCTCTGACTAGTAGGACTGCATTCTTTGACCAAACGAACCTCTTACTGTATGAGTAGCAAGACAATCACCTCAATCTCAAAAGTAGGGGGCAAGTGATAAACCCCATTCGTGTGGTCCAATCTTGAGCCTTCACGTGTCCCTTTACAAAATTCTCAAGGGGCTCACTAATGACTCGAACCGGGCCAATTAACCCAACCAATAGATTTGCCCAGACGCATCTAGTATGCCTAGATCCCATAAGGGTGTCATCGAGAAGCTCAGGTGGGGCCCAACACCCATCTCTTAATAGGATTACAACTCCTTTGTGCACCTCTTCTATACTTAGGTAAGGCACCCTCATTAAAAGGTATGTACACTATAGCCCACTTCTTGCTCTTACCATGTTATTTGCTTTCCTTGTCGATTGGCCTCTTTGGCTTGGTCTAGCAACCCCTAGCTCACTAATTGGCTTAAGTATCAAAGAGTTCTCCCATTGGGAAACCTTAGGACCTCTCTCTCTCTCTCTCTCTTCTCTCTTGCAGGTGCCTTTAGAAACAACTCGGTTTAACCAACCTCCTCGGCTCATCTAGTTTCTAACTACTTCTCACCTCACTTATCTATTGCTCAGATGTGAACTGTAACATTAGTGGTTTAGTTTAATTTAATTATGAGGAGTCTTGGGATTGGATAGGGTTTATTAACCCCATTTTCTCAAAAGAAAAAAATAAATTTATGTTATAACTATTGTTGATTAATTTTTTGTGAAAAACCATGTACATTCACTAAAATAATTCCATGAATTAACTTGAAAAATATTAAAAATCTATCCAAATTTTGAACTAAAGGAACATGTGAACAATCCAATAAGGTATCCTTAGGTTGTATTTGGTTTGATGGAAAATAAGAGAAATCAAAAGTTGAGGGTAAATTCTTAAAGAATTTCACATACCAAACATAGCCTTAGTAGAGACCCTTACTTTTGAGAAGAGTACTTATTAATTATTTGTACAAGAGCACTTGTTATTAATGACACCACAAAGGACATCACATACCTTATGATGTGTTTGGTTGATAGAAAAAAAAAAGAAAGTTAAGAGAAAGTTCTCAAGTAATTTTACAAATTTTGAAAAAAAAAAAAGATTTTCTAAAATTTTGAAAATTTGTACCAAAACTCTTGTTTTCTCTATTTCTTTTTACCTTGTTCCATACGGAAAAATCACAAAACCTTCTCTTTTACCGATTAATAGGAGCTTGTATACACCCCTTAAGAAATATACATGGAGTGTGATCGAGAGAGAATTCAAATTTTAACAATCATTAACGGTCTCTTCTCAATTTGAATGGTCTTATAGTTACAAAAAGGTTTACTATTTGTAGTTTCTTACTGGAGGCTTTGCTATATCAAGCATGGGAGCAAATTTACTTACAACCCAAGAAGCTCATTATACTGAGTAGGAGCAAATAATGTTTGACAATGTCCTCTTTTTCTAAATTTCCAACAACTATTAATGCTTATAAGTTGATCCCTTGCCCAACTTGGCTTGCATTCCTAAACTAATGCTTGAGCTTAGGTTGGGCTTAAACTTATAATATAGTAGTTTAGCATAGCTTTGGCTTGGCTTTATCTATTTTATATAATATTTTAACATTAGGGCCATTAAAGCCCATATTTAGAGGCCATGCTTTAAGGCTCATAATATGTATTAAAAAATAAAAATTACAATTAATATTTATATATATTTGATACAATATATCAATTGTACATCATATATATTATAGAATCTAAGTGAGCTGCGCTAAGCCCACCCAAATTGGTTTCAAGCTCAATTCATGACATGCTTAATTCTTTTGTTTCATGGAAAGTAGCCCATGATAGGGGTGAGCATTGTTCTGTTATAACCAAAAATCCAAATAAAAAAAATTCAGTTTTAGTTCTTTTATTCGATTTTTTTTTGTTTTTTTGTTTTTTGTTTTTAGGTCTGGAAATTCAATTAAACAGAAAAATCGAATTAACTGAATTATATATATATATATATATAGTGATGAGACTCATTTTTAACCAAAATAATTGAAAACCAAACAAAAACTTTTAGTTTTTATTTAAAATTTTTGTTTACTCGCTTTGGTTTATAACTGAATAAATCGTTTGTTCACCCCTATCCCTTGCCCCTTTGCTGTGTTTGATTTGAAGGAAAAAGTAGGGAAAGATAGGAAACTTTTCCCTCCCTTTCTATACCTTTTCCTTCAAACCAAACATAGCCCTTAGGTTTGATTCATTAAATCAAGTTGATCCCAAGTGTCTCTTATAACTAACCAAAGAGTTGGGCCCATGTTCAAAAAATGAGGGAAACTTTGGCTGTCCATTTTCGACAGCCTGTGCTTCCCACCTACCGCTGTTCTTGCAGCGCTATTACTGTTGCCTTTTGTTTTTTACAAATTATTGATACTAAAAAGAAAAATGTGAAAGAAATGCATGCATGATCTCACATGTTAATCTAATTTATAATTTTTTGAAAATAATAGTCAAACATAATAACAAGATCCAGGTAGAGATCTTTAATTTTCTTGTAATTGTATTTCTTCCTCTAACACTTGTGATAATCCATCCTTTTTCCCACTAATCCACAGCCAATTCATCTCTAATGTGTAAATGCTTTTTAATTATTGGAGCCTCCCAGCCTCGAATTTTTAAGGGGTGTTCTCCAACGTAAATTGTTTTTCTAATTATCAATAAATAGAACCAACTGGTTCGAAAACACGTTCATAGTTACGTTTTTTATTTTTTCATTTTCAAAACTAAAACTAAGAAGGTGTTTTTGAATTTCTGGTTTAAAGAACATATTTTCATATAATCTCTAGACTACGAAATGTTTTTATTTTTCTGATTTAAAAACCATTTTTTGTGATTTTAAAAATATCTATTGCTTTTTTTAAACAAAACCTACTTGTTCTTGTCTTTCAAAACAAAAATAGAGTTCAAAAACATATTTTTACTTTCTCATCGATAAAAACAAAAACTTTATGTTATGAAACACCCCCTAAATATGGATCTGCGGAGTTTATAACTTGCCACGTGTTAATCACTTGTCTTAGCATAAATAAAAAGAGATCGGCATCATCAGTTGTTCTTTGACCATCTAATTTGAGCATCATTTGTTTCTACTCTGATGAAAGAATCTTTTTTCCACGGTCCAATTAAATACAGTAAATTCACATGTTCAATGTATTCCGCGATGATGCTTATTGGCAACTATCTATCGTGTGGTATCCATCCAACAGTTGGGTCCTACCCATAAAACATGAAACACATTGCAAATTGTTGGGATTGTAGATCCCTATACCCTTCATGTGACACCAAAATTTAGCTTTCATTAATACCAACAAAATTCTAATTCCATATTAAGCTGTGAGTTTGGCCACCTAAAGATATGCTATCCACACATAATTACCCACAATAAATTGCAGTCACACATTAGGAACATCTTCCAGATATTCTCATTACATGGTTGCAATGTCTTGTGGGTATGAAATGAGGCCACAAGGCCCACAACAATGTATCGAAAAAAATCTGATTAATGATTAACCCAATTGATTGATTCGATTTTGCTTAAGAACCAAAGGATCAATTCATATTTTGCTTAAGAACCAAAGGATCAACTCTTTAATTAATTATATTTTAAGAAAATTTGGTACTAAATTTAATAGTGTAAATTAAAATACTTTATATTAAATTAAGATGTATTGTATTTTTTTAATAATAATTTGACGCCATAAGCGTCACCATAAATTCTCTAGATGGACCTGACGTAGACGTCCGTCAGCCGAGAGTCCAATGTAGCAACCCAAGGATTATCTTCCCACGTGTCAATTACCTTGTTGTCGGTTACGGTCAAATGCCGGTGCTTCTCAGACACGTGTAAGCCTGATGCTCCAAAAGACGCACAGTAAAGTTTGAAACATTGACCATCACCACGAAAAAGCCCCTTGAACGTGACCGCCTATAGCCGGTAGCCATGTGCTGACTCATCGCCAGCTTCAGTTTCATGAGTGTAGCTCAGGACCATTCAAAGCTTTCAAAGCTGTAAGCTTTCTCTCGACTCTCTCACCTCAACATTTCAAAGTCCTCCCTATAATAAAACCAAAAGCCTCAGACCTCAGCCAAAGCTCTCTTTCAGAACTATCTCTCTGTCTCTTCTTCTTCTTCTTCTTCTTCTTCTTCTTCTTCTTCTTCTTCCTCTTCTTCTTCTTCAATTTCCATGTCTGGTGAGGCCAGAAATCTGTTCCACCATGACCTACCATTCCACGATGATCGCCGCAACGTCGGCAAATCCGGTTTTATTCCCTTCTCGACGGATCCTCCTTCCATGTTTAATCAGTCTGTTCATGGGTTGGGAGACTCAGCAGCTCGCGATCTAAATGGGTTTGACCCTTCCTACTTGAGCTTCACTGACTGTTTACATGGCGCACTGGATTACAGTACATTATCAAGAGCTTTCGACTTGTCTTGTTCTCCGCCGGATGCGTTTCATCCCGTCGATGATGCCACCCAGAAGACGGGTGGTATGGGCGAGTCAACGGGGACTACTGACATTCCGGCGACACCCAACTCGTCTGTGTCATCATCGTCCACTGAGGCAGCAGGAGAAGAAGATTCGGGGAAGAGTAAGAAAGATCGGCAGCCGAAAGGGTCTGAAGATGCAGTCGACAAGCCTAATAAGAAAGTGTAGGTTTAATTTCTTCTCCTTTCATGGACTATTCCTGGTAAAGGTTTTTTACATCATTTTCAGAAGTTTCTTTGTGGGGCTTTAGCCTTCTTGCCAGGATAATCTTTTCTCAATGTGAACTTCCAAGGGTTATCAAGTTTACGTGTACCACTCAAATTTCTTCTTTCTTAACTCTCTCTCTCTCTCTCTCTCTCTCTCTCAAAAGCAGTTGAGACTGTGAAAAATTTTGATATTACTTTTTGGTGATCTTTTCTAGAGATATCTACTGTACAAATCCTGTAGAATTGGAAGGATAGAGTTGGTGAACGCAAAAGAAGTTAGAATCAAACATGCTAAAGAAGGCCCTGAACTTTATTTGAGTTTATATTATTTAAAGAAACTTGATAAACATGTGATGTGCTTAGTTTCCTAACTGATGAGTTCTGCTTCATATTAAGATTTTCTGGTTGAATCATCAGGAGCAAGCCCAAAAAGAAAGGAGAGAAGCGGCAAAGAGAGCCACGATTTGCTTTCATGACTAAGAGCGAAGTTGATCATCTTGAAGATGGATACAGATGGAGAAAATATGGGCAGAAGGCAGTCAAGAACAGCCCTTATCCAAGGTCTGTTCACTCAATTCCCTGTAGGAAAACCTACACAATATTTAACAAAAAAATGCTTTTACCTTATGACTGTTATTATATTATAAGATGGTCTGTCTACTAATTACAGGAATGATTAAAGATGAATTCTAATTAGTTTAGAGAATTTAAATCTCAGGAGCCTTGTTGGGTGATTTGACTCCAACCAAATATATATGTATATATTCTGAGATCTGTTACTTTGTGGGTATATTCTTTCATTTACAGTGATTGATCTAACTGCACTACAGCATTGATGCCTTAATTTGCATCATGTACAGCTTCACAAGTAATCTTTTTGAATGGATGATCTCTGGAAATACTTAATTAGTCTTTTCTTTTTTTGATGGTTTTGTGATACATTTTCTATTCCAAGGAAGGCTACAGAATCCAGGGAATTTTTCAGAGATTGATCATAAGCATTTAATTGTTGTTGCAGAAGCTACTACAGGTGCACTAGCCAGAAGTGCTCAGTGAAGAAAAGGGTAGAGAGATCATTCCAGGATCCATCAATTGTGATTACTACATATGAAGGACAACACACCCACCAGAGCCCATCGACGCTTAGAGGGAATGCTGCGGCCATGATGGCACCTAGCATGCTAACACCGCCACCTCCGGCCGGCCCAATCTTCCCCCAAGAACTACTGCTTCAATTGCCTTCAACAAACAACCAGGCTGCAGCCACAAGGTCGTCATTGTATCAACAAACCCTAGCTCAGCAGCTCCGTCTTCCAGACTATGGCCTTCTCCAAGACATGGTTCCTTCCTTTATCCATAGGCAACTATCATGATCTCTCTCTCTCTCTCTCTCTCTCTCTCATATTTTGTACATGTATTTAGTTTTGGATACATGAACAAATTAATACCAGTATGGTATGCATGCATGGAGAATCAGATTCATCTTTTTGAGTTATTAGAGGACACGTTATTCTTCTAAATTATTTTATAAAATCATTTCAGTTCTTCTGTCAAAAAAAAAGTGAACTTCAGTGTTTAATTCTATATTGCTAATATGGGAAAGGAGTTCTTAAATGGGAGAAGATGGGTTTGATGGGGGTACCAAGAATAGGGCTTTTTTGTTGACAGAGAATGCATGCTTTTGCTACAAATGCAATTAATGTGGTATCAGTTGTTTGATGTAATGAGGGGGGCGAGTTGCAAGGTTGAGTTTGAAGTGATTATTGGGTTAGAAGTTATGGATAGCACAGAAGTATATCTTCTCTTCAAAATTAGGGGTTTCGTGTAAAAATTATATATATATATAATGAGAACAAATTTGGTAGTTTTCATAGCTGCAGATTGACATAAATTAGAAGGTACAAAAGCTTTTTATGCAAATTTTCCAAGGCCATACTATACTCTGATATTATTTGTGGTCATATTAGAGAGAGAGAGAGACTTACTACTTCAAGTCAATTTTGGGTTGTATCTTCTATTCAAATTAGGGTTTTTAATAAAAATTAGATATGCAATCATAACAAATTTGGTAGTTTGCAGAGGGACATAAATTAGAAGAGACAAAAGCTTTATATGCAAATTTGCCATGGGCATTCTGATATTATTTGTTATGATATTAGAGACACCCACACTTCAGTCAACTTTTGGGTTATATCTTCTCTTCAAATTAGGGTTTTCATGTAAAAATTAGATACATAATCAGAACAAATTTGGCAGTTTTCCTAGCTGCATATAGGGACATAATTAATTAAAAGGGACAAAATCCTAATAAGCAAATTAATTAGCCATGGCCACTGATTATATTATTTATGATATTATAGAGAGACCTACTCCAATTAAGTCAATTTAATGAAAATCCACTTCAGAAACTCTTTAATAAGTGCAAGCCGACACAAGCACACAACAGAGATGAGGTGACATGACCTTGGAGTGTATGTGTTTCTCCATCTCATCAGTCACACCCCCACTTCACCTATAAAAGCTTCAGCCTAGGGGCCTCTCTGCTGCCTTGTTGCGTAAATAGTGCTTTTCCTTGTCTTATTTTTCTTCAATAATAAGAGATTGGAATTGGATGTTCAATCACAGGGAGGTTCATTCAAGTTGGAAAAAAACCAATCATGGTGGCACTGAGGGGCTTATGTGGACTAGAATTGTCAACGTGTCCTTCCTGGGTGTCCCACTGAAAGGACCTTTGGACTTGCCACCCGGAACCCTCCCCTTTCCCCTTTCTAAATGAGAGATACAAATGTTGTTTTGTCCATAAACAGAAAGCACTTTTTCATCATTGACACTGCTTTGTTTGGATAATCTTTTGTTTTTTGAGCTTTGGGCTGTTGGAAACAAATTTGAGCCAAGAACAAAAAAGTGTTTTCAGCGTTTGGCAAAAGTTGTATTTAAAAGTATACAACAATCTAAAAGCCAAAACACTTTTCAAGTCCCAAAGCACAAATCCTAAAATTGGGGGTGTGTGTGTGCTTTTCAAGTCCCAAAGCCAAAACACTTTTAATGAGTCGATCGTTAGCCAAAATGTGTGACTGTGGATTATGGTTTGCCTTTTGCTGATGTAGGCACATGTGTCATATTGGCTTCTTTAGGGGTGACAATTGGATCCAATTTGGTCTAAATGTTAGGGGTGACAATTGGATCCAATTTGGTCTAAATGTTCGGATCCAGCCCAGTATGAGTCCATTACAGGTGGATCAGGTCCAATCCAATCTGATGAATACTCTTGACCATTTTGGACTGATCCAATTCGATGTCTAAACCATCAAGTCTGTTAAAATTGATTTTAATTTAGATTGGTTTCAACCCAAATATGGTCTATTGACACCTGTATTCTTATCTTCTATCAATGGACTAGATATTAGTCCAATCCAACTCAGTCCATTACAGATGGACCAGATCCAATCCAATCCAATAAGGGTTTGACTATGATATGAAAAATATATGATATCTGAGAAACAATTTGACCAATGAACTGGAATCATAAACATGTTAGTGAATAAGGTGTTATTTATCAAAATTCATGAGTGGCTTTTGATTGGTCAAAACTATTTCCATACCATATCTTTTCCGCATCATAGATTTTCCAAATTAATTCTAACCTTGTTTTTTTTTTTCAAATTTTAGAAAACTAATATACTTTAAGATTTGTGATTTTAAGACTCAGTTTGAAAGGAATACAAATATATACAGTCCAAATACATACAAAATAATATAAAATATAAGATTTTACACTCTACATATTTACATTTATACTCCTTTCACACTAAGCTTAAAAGTCCAAAAGAACACAAAGCCCCAATTTACAGTCTATTTGTGAAGGCTTTCATAAAGTGGCAATGTGACATCTGGCTTTGTGAGGTGGGCTCTTCATGGACAGCGAATAAGCTATGTTTGATCAAAGATTCTGAAAAGCCCAAATATGCTATCATTCAGCCAAAAAAAATGGCTTTGGAATTCAACAAAAGGTAGCTCTTTTGTAAAATATCATAGACAAGGCAGCTTTTGCAAGGTAATATCACAAAAGGGCAGTAAAACATGAGGTGCATCCGCCGTATGGGAAATGCCTTCATGCATTTTTTATGACAAAACTACCTCTCTTCCTCTTTTTTCGCAAAATGTATCGAAAACCCAAAGAAATCTCTCCACCTTTCTCTTCCTGTTAATCGACTGAAGCTTTTGAAACCCCATTGTTCTTCTTCCTAAAGAAATGAAAAACTATAAAAAATCTTAGTCCTCTCTCCAAAGTTGAAAATAAACCCTATTATAGCCTTCATTCTTCGTATGAAACCCTGTTCATCTTATTGTTGCTAATAAACTCCGGCAGCTGCAATCCAAGAGCTTCTTCCCAAGAAGCTCCCGACGGTGAATTTTTGGGCGTTAGCCTTGCTCATGACGTAAAAACCTGCCCAGTTTTTGTTGCTCGTGACATCAGCCTTGGCCACGCGAAGGCCGGTGACGCTGCCGTAACAGCCAAGAAAGTATAGCATTACGCGACCGACGTCACTGCGCAGGGCGAGCTCGCTCGCCAGGTAGAGGTCTCCTCCTGGTAATCTGATTTCGCTGGAGGAGACATAGACGATGTGGGTGATGAATCCTACTGGTCTCCCCCATTCCTTGATGCAGGCAAGGCTTGCTTCTAGCGCCATCTCCAGTACTGCTAGGTTTGCTATTTCGAGCCTTTGCTTGATCGTTGGTGAGCCCTCTGTTGTCAGTTCTGGGTACTTGTCTAAGATCTCCTTGGAGCAGCAGCCACCGCCTGAGAGATGGTCTTGTTATTACCAGACCCATCTGCGGCCACCACAACACCAGCTCGTAAAGGTGCACTGGATGATTGAAGAAACTTCCGATTTGCAGCAGAGACCCATGTCGGGAAGCCATCAGAAAGCAACCGGCGATTACCACCTTCATCAATGAACAGAGCAAAGTATATTTTCAAAGGATCATACCTTTGAATGACATTAAGAGTGAAAAGTTACCTCTATCGGTTATAACCCCCCAAACTTATTTCGGTAGCCTCTTTTAAAGGTTAAAGCGGCTCAGTGAACTTCAACCCTCCCAAACCGGCCCATGGGCTTCTTGATTTGGGGCTTATATGTGTTTTAGCTTGAAATTTAAAAAAAAAAAAAAAATCTTTAAAAGCAACTCTTACCAAACGATTAAAACATTTTTATTTTTGGTTCATTTAGTTTTCGATACCCAAAGATCAAAGACAAACAGAGCCCAAATCAAATCATGGGGCTCACTTTCCTAAATACCAAAGCTTAGAAAAAGACCATTGGCGAAAACCACCTTGGTCATTAAAATACCATCATCTTGATTTGGGTCTACTGAAAACTACATGTTGCTGTTCCTACGTTTGTGAAGATGTCAAAATTACAACTTAACAGTAAATTGATTGATTGATTGATGAATGATGAGAAGCATTTTCAAGTAGGCTCTGTTTGGTTGCAGAAATTAAAAATAAAACAAATCAATTTCAGAAAAAAGATTGCTATTTTGTGATGTTTGATTGCATGAAAATAACCATCAAAGACAAATGTTTTACAGGAGATGCCTTCTGATTTTGCAGAAGACTGGTGCTATGGTGGTTCTCTTGCTTCATTAAGTTGAAATAAATGTCAGGAAAATGATGAAAATAAGGTTGTGTTTAGATAAGTTTCAGCCTTTCAGGAATTTGTGCTTTCAAAGGCCATATTGGGGCTTTGTGCTTTGAGGCTTAAAAATGTTTTGGCTTTAGATTAGGCTGATTAGTATGTTTCTAAAAGCAATTCTTACCAAATGCTCAAAACACATTTTGGTTCATCTTTGTTTCCCATAGCCCAAAACTCGAGAGCAAAAGTTTATCTAAATGGGGCCTAAGTTGTTTTCTTATTGGATATGATCTTCTAGAAGTTCGGTGGTTCATTCACTGTGAACCTGTCTTTCCTAAGTTGTATTGCAAGCAATGATACAAAGCCGGCCAAATTTGCAAGCTTTTTCCTTAGGGATGGTAAGAAACAGAATTGGGGAGGATTTTATTAATCCCTAAAACCCGTAGCAGATTGGATTTTCAGAATCGAGGCTCAACTTTACGATGCCTATTCCCAAAATTAACTCAGGACATTGGGCTCATTCAATTCATTAAAAATTCAAGTTCAAGCGTTAGGTAAGCCTCAGTCCAGTCCACCTCTGTTTTACAATCACCACTGTAACAATCTGAGTAATCCGTTCTCATGGATTGTTACATAGTAGGAGGATCGGCTTTTATCACAATGTAAAGAGTGAAGAAAATATCTCAGTATATATGATTCTCATTCATAGAAGCAGAAATAGGAGTCGAAGTATAGACTACTTTCATCATCTGTAGCTACAACTACGTATTATTTATCAATATTTCGAGAACTCTCAAATTTGGACTAAATCTAGCATCCGGCTGAAGCATTATTCGGTTTGATTTTAAAAGATTTCCTA